CATGAAAGCCAGCTGGGTGAGTTTGAACCAGTTGCGTTCTCTCAGACCAAACCATCTCACAATGTTGTTGTAGGGAAAATAGGAGGAGCAAGCTGTTATTAGGTATGCTCACCACCTTGAGTTAATTGAGTTATTTATAAAAATAATAAAGGCAGGATAAAAAATAAGCATTACACTTTTCGTCAATATTTCCAGAACTTTTATGGAAATATAAATATAATAAACAGTTCTCTGTAAGTAGCTTCTGCTTTTTTTCCTTCAAGGTAGAACTTTGGAAATTTATACTAAGTTTTATTCACATTTAGTCCCTGCAAAATTTGGGGCAAGGAAGACACGTTCTGGATAATCACAAGAGACTTCTGAATAATTCATTTCTGAGGACCAGAATCATTTATTTATTAATCAAATTTGTATAGGTATCACCATACTCATTCAGATTAATGTTTATATTCTTTATTTGCTTTTACTAGTAATTTCCTTTTTAATACATATCATTATAGTAACTTTTACAGATGAATCTATTCTATATTAACATGTATGACTGTGTGAATTATGCCTGTTCAGTGTTTGAATGTCAGCAGTGCTATACAGTGCTTGTTTATTTATTTATGAAATTTATACATCATCTCAATCCAAGTGGACTCTAGACAGCTTATAGCACATGTAAAAAATACAGCAAGAATAATATGATAATATAAAATATAAATAATGTATTACCATATTAAAACTGAAAGTTATATTGACCTCTCCAGAATCAATCCTAAATGGTCCTCTAAGGCAGAAACACCAAGTCTTTGCAGTGACTATAAATTGGGGGTCCCTCTTTGCTTCAGTGAATGAACTGCTCTAAGGGAGGGGAGCCACTACTGAGAAGGATTGGATTTGGGAATATGCTTTCACTGTCCTGTGAAGATGGGACAGTAGATGGGAAAATGTAACCAAGGAAGAGTATCTTAAAAATCTAGGGTCTATGCAATTAAGGGTTTCAAAGATAGTAATCAATAATGTTTAGTTTCCTACTTATCAACTTAACCCACCCCCCAAATTATTTACACAGGTACATTATTTCTTGATGCACCTGCCATGCTAAGAAACCATATTCCCAAAGAGCAAGGCTGGCACAACATAATGAAATAAGTTGTTAATTGGATTAATACAGTTTAATCCTATCAATAACTATTACTTAAATGTAATTGCCTGTAAAATAAGGCTCCCCATTTATTCAATCAATTGGTCCTTATCCCTGTATATAAACTCAGAAATCATTTTTCTCTAGAGGATTCTCAATAGTGCTTGTGGAGTCTAGAGATACAGAGGTTTCCATCTACCTGTTTGGTAATATAAGATAGATAAATGAAAAAAAGGTTTGCATACATAATAGGTAGGTACCATTTAGTCAGGTTTGACTCCAAACTTTCTTCAGCAGTGATCAGTAGTCTTTGATCCTACCATCCACTTTATTATTTATGTTCTTCCTGTACTCTCAACTTTGCTAGTCAATTTTCCTCTGGCATCAGATGCTCAATATATGCCAGTTTCTGCTTGCCTGTTAGAGCTTCAAAGGAACAGTCAGCCTTTATGTGGTGACTGGTTCTTCATGTAATCTAGGGCAAAGGTCCCCAACCCCCAGTCCGTGGACCAGTACCGGGCCGCGGAATGCCAGCAACCGGTCCACACAAACAAGCAAAATCCCCTCTGCAGCATGCAGGCACCACACAAAACCACACACCCTCCGGTCCGCGGAAAAAACCTCTCCATGGAACCGGTCCCTGATGCCCAAAAGGTTGGGGACCTCTGATCTAGGGGATAGTTAATAATTAATGTTGTATAAGTTAATCAGGTGTGTCAAGAATATTCTTTCTTCTCTCCTTCTGTTTTTTTAACACTTTTTCCAGGTTTAGTTCTGTCCAGCTTATTTATTCCTCCCATTTGGCCAAGCCTCACTCATTATTTTTACTATAGATTCTGTCACTGCTAGAAGGCAGTGATACTCAGAAAGGATAAAGATGGCTATCTATATAGTGCTAAATCTTGTTATTGTGACCTTTGGGAGGGAGGGAGGGAGGGAAGGAAGGAAGGAAGGAAGGAAGGAAGGAAGGAAGGAGCAAGCCATGGTCATGGAGCTCAAGAATGGGCAGCGATTCTGGAGGGTGTTACTGCTCAGTGTAAAAGACTGGCATTTGTTTTACATGCATATACTTTCATAACGATGTTCACTGGGTTTCCATAATTTTTATAGATATGATTCTGCCATTTATTGGATTACAGGTACTTCATAACCTACAACCATTTGTTTAGTGACCGTTCAAAGTTACAATGGCATTGAAAAAAGTTTTCACACTTATTATTATTATTATTATTAATTGCATTTATATCCCGCCCTTCTCCTTTCGGACTCAGGGCGGCTGACAAATGATAAAAAGCTAACATACATAATATTACACCTAGTTAAAATTTAATTAAAACGAAATATTTGAGAATGTCCAATTAAAAGTAATTAAAACCCCTATAAAATCCCCTAGGCCAGTCCCGCTTGCTGGNTCGTTCCAGAGGGTGGGAGCTCCCACAGAGAAGGCCCTCCCCCTTGGGGTCGCCAGCCGGCACTGTCTGGCCGACGGCACCCTGAGGAGACCCACTCTGTGAGAGCGTACAGGTCGGTGGGGGGTAATCTGTGGCAGGAGGCGGTCTCGAAGGTAACCAGGTCCGGTGCCATGGAGCGCTTTAAAGATAATAACCAACAGCTTGAAGCGCACCCGGAAGGCCACTTAATGACCATTGACGCATCCCCGTGGTCATGTGATGGCAACTAGCATGTATTTATGATGGTTAGAGTGTCCTGAGGTCATGTGATCAGCTTTTGCAACTTTCTGACAAGCAAAGTCAATAGAGATGCCAGATTCACTTAACAAACAGGTTAGTGCAGTTACTTAACAACTGCAGGGATTGATTTAACGACTGTGGCAAGAAAGGTTGTAAAATGGGGCAAAATTCACATAACAACTGGCTTGCATAGTAATGGAAATTTTGAGCTCATTTATAAGTCAAGAACTTCTTGTACTAGACAGCCATTGGCCCTTTAAGTCATCATTCCAGACATATTTCCATACATAAATAGGGAAACAAAAGCAGTGGGGATGACTTCCCATTTCCTGCCAGCTTCCTTATTGAGTTTCCTTGTGGAAAACTGGCAAGGAGCATCAGAAATCTTCCCTCCCTCCGTCCTTCTTTCCTTCCTTTTAAAGGTCATGATAACAAATCTTAGTACTGTATAGATAACCATCCTCATCCTTTCTGAGTATCACTCCCAGTACGTTCCTTCATATAGACCAGTGGTGGTGAACCTATGGCACGGGTGCCAGAGGCGGCACTCAGAGCCCTCTCTTTGGGCACGCGTGCCATCGCCCCAGTCTTAGGCCTTCAACTGGGTTTTATAAAACCTTTTCGCTTTAGGCCTCCACCGCTGTGTGCCAAAAAAAAAAGGTTCAATCAGTCAATTTCAACTTCTCGCGGGAAAAAAAGATCTTGCAAAGTTGGAATTGATTGATTGAACTTTTTAGTCCCACCCAGTCTGCCGTTACCACCGCAGCCATGCCTACCCAATGGGCCACGCCCACCCAATGGGCCACACCCACCCGGCACTCGACGATGCATAAGTGGGTTTTGGGTTGCAGTTTGGGCACTCAGTCTCTAAAAGGTTCGCCATCACTGATATAGACAGATGACTTGAATATATTAACAATCTGAGTTAATGTGGCCTAGTCCAATCTGAATCTGAATCTAAAATAGTTCTAAAACTGAATCATTACAATTGTTAATTAAAAGGTTAGTCTTGATTTTTAATTTTTTTTTCTCTACCCATGTTTGATAGGTGTAATCTCGGTTTTGTTTGTTTGTTTTGGTTTTCTTGGTTCTTATAATGAATATTTCAGTTCAGGAAAACATTTATGACCAAAGTTACTATAGTTTGGAGACAATGAAAGCTACAGTGTAGGTGGAGCCAGATACAGTACATGGATGGTATGTTTTCAAATTTGTAATGTGGTTGAGTTTGATTGCAAAAGAAAGAAATAGTCATAAAAGATACAGGGCTGGCTATGGGGTATGGCCTTTCATAGCCTTTCATGGTAATGTATTCATGCATTCTGGTCACCACCTCAAGCTACATTTTTATGAATTTATAAGTGTGCATTAATAAATATAAATCAAGTTGTAGCTTTCACGTGAATATAATGAATTTTCCTATGTTTAACTTCCAGGCAAAGATTATGATAAAGAGTAGAGGGGTTGCATATTGCTCTACATATGCACAAATATTTTATTCCTGGAAGTGAAATTGTGCCTTTAAGGAATTTGCATTTAGTCCTGATCTTCTCCATCCCCATCCCTAGAGAGAAAAAAAAGATATTTTGTTTGGGAATCAAATGAGATAATGTGATAGTCACAAATTCTTTGAAGTTCCTTGGCTTCTTCTCCAAATCATCTTCTTTGTAAAGTGAATGTTTATGTATTCTGATCCTGAAAGTGTATTTTTCCATAAATAAATGGTGTAGTAAGTAGTAGAAAGAAATACGTTTGACTAGAATCAAAGAAGCAGGACTAAAAATACTTCTGTTCAAATGTTCATAACATTCTTTCATAGGATTTCATTAAAATGATTTAGTACTTTTCCAGACATGTTGTTTTTTAATGTATCTTAGAATTTACCATTTACATATGCAATACAAACACTACATATATTGCTATTTAACTCATTATAGTCTAAATCTTTTAGTACTAATATATAGAGCGAGAGGAGGTGGGCTGTATACAAAACCAGGTGAACGTATTAGTAGAAGAAACCACAATACAGCAGGTTCAAAATAAAAAAAAAAAACACTTTTATTTCTTATATTAGAGAATAGTAGTAGTACTAATCAACACTTGAAATATATACCTGTTTTGTTTTTAATTAAACCATGTGTGGAATCTGACAATATTTTTCCTTCTAACTTTTAGAAGAATCAAACTGCTGATGCATTGAAATCATTTGATCAGTTGCTAAAATGTTCAAAAATGAATATCAGGTAAGGGAGAAATATTTCTGTTGTTTTGTGCTTATTTAGAAAGAAATGAAAAAGATACTAGAATGGCAATAGTATGTAATATTGAGGAAAAACTGCTTATATGTATAAATATTCTCTATTTGTTTCTTCTTTGAAGACTTGAATAGGTGTCCCCACATTTTTAACTGCTTATAATTGGTTTTTGTCACTCTCAACCTTTTCTACTTTTCTGATCTGATCTGAAAACTTGAAAAAAGGCAAGATTATTAACATTATGGGGTAATGAATAGAATGCTAGATTCAAAATTTACTTGACCACAAAATCCAATGTATGACATTGAGTCGGTCATTCTGTATCAGTGTAATCAATCTTAAGGGGTTGTTATAAGGATGAAGGAAAGGGTATTTCCAAGGTACTATATTCTGCCTTGTCTTCCTTAGAGAAAGAGGAAATAGTGAATTGCTAAATATTTTTACCCAGCAACTGCCACAGAATGAAAAACTGGCAAGTAGATTGGGTCTTTATAATTCCTCTCCAGATAAGAAGAGGACGAGATCACCCATAAGTACTCCAGACAGTAGCTCCTCACAAAGAAACTGCAGGACAGCCATCCCCCGTGGTTTAGAGTTATGAGAGAAGAGGGAATAGCCATCTTTTCCCTCAAACTGATTGGTGCCTTGAAAAGGACACTAGGTTCACATACTTCCTTTTCTAATCACTTTTGGAAATTACTTGTTAATAGCTTTCTGCTATTAGGAACCTTTGGATAGCACTGGGTAAGTTTCCTTCAATCTTTAGTGAAAGAAAATTTAAATATAAATGTAAGGACTTAAAAATTATTTTGGAATAAACAGCAAAACATTGGATAAAACTTTGATTTTTGAAAACAAACTTAGGGCCCAGATTGATTTGAAATAAGGTTTTGGAATAAATTATAAGAATCCTTTCCATGGGAAAATGCTTTTGTTATGAAATCTCTTTAAAAAAACCAACAGGATGAGACTTTGATGGTTGGACACTGGAGCAATCCAGAAGGAACTTTAAAGGTAACAATTAAAGGAGACAAACACTTCAATTTGACTTACAGAACAGAAGAAAATATTTTAACATTCAGCATATCAAAGAATATTTTTGAATAATAGGCTCAGAAGTTAATTTTAAGGGTATCTACCTCTATAGATAGTGTTTTACAAAATGTAATGGAAGCGCAAGAAGTTTTACTAAACAAGACCACAACTGATCTGAAAGTGGATTTAAAAATGACAGGCTGTAAGAATGACATGGAAAAAGATGCCACACTGGGCATAGAAAAGAAATCAGCTGATGTCTTAATAATTAAAAAGGGATATACAAATAACAAACTAGAAGAGTTTCCATTTTTTCTGCACTTTTGATTTTTTTTTCTTTTCATTCTTTTCTGTTTATATTAGTTTTATCTTTGCGATTGTAATTTTTAATCAGATTTAATAAAATGTTTTTTCCAATTTATTTATTCTCTGCCTGAATTATAAAGTTTGTGGATATAGGGATGGCAACACATTTTCAGGCTGGATTTTAATATGGTAAAAGCTAATAGAAACATTTTCTGGAGAGTCCAGAAAATGTCACACCCAGGTATGATCTGGCTGGATAGACATTGGGGATGGAAGTGCAGAAAAGTGGGAATTCTTTAATTTGGACTTTAGTTTGAGCTTGAGGGATGGACTCCCTGACTTAAATTATCCCTTCTAACTTTACAGAATATAAACATTTGGGGAGCTTATATATTTAATAGCTAAATAAATAAAAATAAACTTTTCCCATATCGAAGTTGCTGCAAAGGAATTTCTGCAGAGAACTCTGAAATCTTTAGAGTATACAGCTTGTTCTGAGGAGACTTTTTATCCCTTTTTGTCACTTTATGTGAGTTTGAAGTGGGTTCTAAAATATTTCAATCTCCTACCATATGAATTGCAGGTAAAATCCAATCTGACACTGATAATTGGCATTGGTTGTGATTTTATTTGTATTTCAGATTGAATCCCACTCCTATATAGAGTGGTAGAAATACTAGGACTGTTTTATCCTAGCCTTTATATTAAATGGGATTGATCATTGTTGATAGCCTTCAGATTAGATTATGGTAATGCGTTTACACTGAAGAATATTCAGTTCATCTAAAAAGCTACAGTTACTGGGCCTTGACATATAGAACATATTATTCCAAGTTATTTTTTCTCAACATGAGTAGTTATATAGTGATTAAATAATAAGTGCCAGATGTATTCATTCTCATTTTTTTTCAAAATTCAATGCAAAGTGTTGATTTCATAAATTGTAAAATTAAATACCCAATTTTCTAGATACAATTTAAAAGTTAATTTTAAAACGATTGTTAAAAATCAACATAAAGTAGAGAAGAGCATAACCCACTCAGAAATATTGTGTTCTATAGAATTTTAAAATATTCATTGTGTTCTGGATATGGCATTCTGGACAAAGCAGTTTATTTCAGGGTTGAACTATCCCGAGGACATCTCGGTTTACTTTACAAATGATTTACTTCTGTAAATTGCAGAACCACCTTAAAAATGTCCAGAAGGCAGGACTTTTCTGAAACAGTCTTGTTCCCAAATGAGTGAGTTTTGCACACCAGTATTTATACTTCTTAACAATTTATATTGTAAAAAATAATCCTAACAAACAGTTGTCGGTCCCAAATAATAATAAACAACCTTATTCAGATGTGCATATAACTTCCGACAAAACAGCAACAAAAGTCACAAACCCTCCATAGTAAAGTAGTAGTTATTCAATACCTACTGTACCTATCATTGCTACTCCCTTTCAAGATAAGCAGCTTCTTGCACAGCATGGAAAATGAGAAGGAAATCCTAAACACATGAGATAAGAGGAAAGGAAATAGAGCCGAAACTAATGTATGTCAGCATGATTTGCTTTATATCTCTATTCTTTCCAAACTTCCTTGCTTCTGCGACAGGTTCATGCACTTTCCTCTTTAAAATGCTCACTTCTTTCTTTCTGAGGATTCTCGTCAACTGTATCCCATCCACCACAGGTTTTTGTTCTCCTTGCTTTGAAGAAATTCATCCTTCAACATACCAGTTTTTGCAGTCTGATGCTCAATCGTTTTGTCTGCATATCTAACCCACATCAACAAACTTCTTTCATATTGATCATTCGTGTTTATAGTCAAACCACGTTCATTTATCAGCCACTCT